AGGGTTTTGTGCATGGGGGGCAAGCACTTTACCAACCGAGCTATATCCCTATCTCTAGCTTTGTATCTTTTTATGATTAATTATATATAATAGATCTATATTATCATTTTCTACTATAGGTGCCTGATTATTTACCATTTACAGTAATCTTTAAAAAATATTTATAGTTTCAAATAAAGCATTATATTAGAAAAGGTCTAAGTTTCATGTTGCTTTTAGGAAACTGTGTCAGTTTGGTTTTCTGGTAAAAGGAACTTAAGGGAAACTCGTCTTTGGAAATGAGAGGCAAATGTGACTTTAGCAATATTCTCCAGTTACTACTATATTGCGGCATCAATGTTTAAAATTCACAAATTGAAGAAAGGAAATATATTTTAAGATTAATTTTGCCTAACAGCTTCTGAGAAAGCTTTGTTAATAAGTAGGATTATTAATAATTGATAGCTTTAAAATAGATGCTTTATTTGTGAAAATGAATTTCTAAGGGCATTATTTAAAGTAATAATAGAAGATTTAGTTTTTAATATATAGAAGTTCAAATGAAAATGAAACCAAAGTGAAATAGTAAAACTAGAATAATAAGAAACTTGAGAATATATTTCTCACAAATCTGTATTTCTATTTTCTTGGTTCCGGGGATTGAACCTAGGGTACTTAACCACTTAGCAGGGTGTTGCTAAGTTGCTTAGGGCCTTGTTAAATTGCTGAGACTGGCTTTGAACTCTCTATCCTTTTGTTTTCAGTCTTCCTAGCTTCTGGGATTACAGGAGTGTGTCACTGTGCCTGGCAAAAATTTGTATTTCTTTTAGTATTTTGTAGATTTTATTTACTTGTCTAATTTAAAACTTGATATTTCTTTACAATTAAAGGCAGTTATTTCTTAAATTTGATGACAGTTGTCTTGTGGATTGATTTTTCCAATTCTTACACATTTAAAAAATCACAATGAATATTTTATAATTTGACATTCAAAGCCCCCCAAATAAATAAAATAAAATGATTAATTTAATGTTCTTTAATTCAAGTATAGTCTCTACACTATCCATAACATTAAGGACAATAGCACAGCATATATAACCTTTCCTGTAATACTGTTTTTTTTATTTAAAAAATAACAGCAGAATGCATTACAATTCTTTTTTTAAAACATTTATTTTTTAGTTATAGGTGAACACAAATCTTTATTTTATTTTTTTATGTGTGCTGAGGATCAAACCCAGTGCCTCATGCATGCTAGGTGAGCGCTCTACCTCTGAGCCACAACACCAGCCCCTGCATTACCATTCTTATTACACATATATACCATGATTTTTCATATCTCTGTTTGTATATAAAGTATGTTGACACCCAATTTGTGCTGTAATACTATTTATCTGTAAGAAAAAATAAAACAAAATCTGTTAGTTTTTGAGTCATTATTAAATACTAAAAAAATGATTTTTTTAAAAAAAGTTTTTCAACAGTGCATGTTATTTTTCATTCCTGAACCAAAATGAAACCAACATTACCTAATATTCAATAGTTTTATATTGAAAATGAAATCCAAGAGACTTAGATGTTGCTTTGAACATGACATTTTATAACTTGTCATTAAATCCTAAAATCGAATAGATAAACAGAACTAGAAGATTAATAGTTTGTCAGGGCAAACTATTAATCTTCAGGGCAAGAAACCCAGGATTCTTTAACCTAAGATTTCCCTACCTGTTTAGAAAGCACTAGCAGGAGTGTTGTATTGAGAATAATTTAATTTGTTTGTAATGCTAAGATATCTTAATGATCATTTTTCCTTAAAAATAATTCTAAGATAAAATTTGTTTTCCTAGGAAATACACATAGGCTATAGTATATTAGAAATCAAATTTATTCTGCGCAAGACCTAGGTAAATTTTACTGTAAACCATCACATGATGGTAAATAATTGGAATGTGAACATACCATAACTAATTTGATTTTTGCATTATGTCCTATGAATAATACAGCAAGCCAATATAGTTTTGAGGACAATGGGAGTAAACCAGTTAATAGTACCATGGACTAAGTACATAGACATAAGAGAAATATTTCAAACCACATAAACTAAGGAGAGATGGCAGAATATGGAATGTTATTTGTCTTCTAAATGAAGTGTCATTCACTACTGGGCACTGTTGGAAGAAATGTGAATTTCAAAGGGAAGACTCTTAATACTAATGAATTATTTGTCTACAAGGTTAACATCAGCTGTTTGTGTTCAATGACTCAGAGTAGTCTTTCTTTTTTATTTCTTATTAAGGAAATATAAGAGGTAGTACTTACTCTCCATCTTATTTTATCCAATCTCTTGAGATTGGATAAAAGAAAAGAATTCACAAAAAAGAATATCATCATTGATAAATTCTTCAGATCTTTAATGTTCTAGTGTGTCTACACAGCTACCATAATGAGTTCCTGATATTCATCAAGAAACTCACACCATTCCTATTTATAGTAATCTGAGGAACATTTTTCTTTCAGCAATGTTAAACACTGAGTGCCAGCTAAGTTGTTAATACTACACTAATGAAACTGAGTCTGCCGGAAATTTACCTTGTTTTTTCCCCCTCTGGGCTTTTCTAGCAAGTGATAGAAAACATCATCATGGTGTTTTATATGTCTATCACTATTTTTTTTAATAGATAAACAATTCCCAAATAAAGTATACCAGTCATAGCAAAGTAAAAATAAAAGAATTACAGAATATTTCAGCCCAGTATAGGATGCTGGGATTAAAGCTTAAAGCATCACATAGCAATGATTATGAATATGATGTCAGACTTTCATGACATCACAACAATAGTAAGTGTAGCAAGTCTCATAGGTTATACCTCAAAAAGGTGAGCTTCAGCAAATCAGTCTTGGAGATATCCTGCAGCCCTGAAAGAGTGCACATAGCTGGTTGTTACTGAAACAGAGTATTAGGTTCCTTTGTTCCCACTCGGTGTGCTCTTGGGGTGAAATTGAGTTTATTTATATAAGCAAATATTAGTATTTTGGACCCTTGGGAAGAGCATTGGTTTTGTGAAGCAGTCTAAATGGGGTTCAGGAATCTCAGGGAATGGGCAGGCATCACTTATACTCGATGTCCAAGGAGAAAGTGCAGAGGTTCTCATTGAAGGACCCGTAGGATCTATAATAGGGGTGGCTAACACAGCTCTGTATCACAGACAATGGTACAGCTCATTTGTAGGCCCCTGGATCAGCTCCTGAAAAGTATTAATAGTGAGAAGGTCCTCAGGAGTCTCTAAGTTTTGACTTCATTTTTCTCCATGTCATGATTATCATCCCCTTTTAAAAAAATTGCCCAATTCACTTTATTTATCTCGTCTTTGTTCATTATATACATTTTATTTGCTTGCCAATTCCTATCTCATAGATACTGGTGCAAAAATACATTAACTTCATTAACTATAGTTGATGACACTATCTTTTTTCATAATTAAGTTTATTTTTCCTTTAGCTTACAATTCTATTTGACTATAAAGTCACATAACATATTTTTTAATGTTTCTATCACACAGCTCAGAATTGTTCTGGATTGAGAACCTGTGGACAGTGTTTAGAACAGCCTGGATGTGGCTGGTGCAATGATCCTAGTAATACAGGACGAGGACACTGCATTGAAGGGTCTTCACGGGGACCAATGAAGCCTGCTGGGATTCACAGTAGTGAGATGGTACTTGACACCAGTCTGTGCCCTAAAGAAAGAAACTATGAGTGGTCCTTTATCCAGTGTCCAGGTAATCAAAATGTGATGAAAATAATTACAGTTTATCCTTGAATGAAACAGTGTATTATAAAGTTTTATTGTTCATACCATTGTATTTCTTAGAGTTCTCTAGAAATTCAGTATACACACTGAAACTTTATGGTAAGTATTGTAGAGTTGCCTATAACATCTGTGAGTCATCTGGCCTTCATTTGAAAGCTGCCAGTGGTATTCATTACTAATCAATTTTGAAGAATTAAATGTAATTTTTCAGGGGCTTACTTCATAGGAAATCAATACTTATGCTAAATATAATCAATCTTCTTGAAAATTAATTTATTCAGACATTTTTATAGAGTGCTTACTTGTGCTAAAGAATATTTTAGGTATTAAAGTCACAAAAATTAACGAATTAGACTGAAATCATTGCATTTATGTAACTCATTTTAATTAAAATTCATAAAATTAACTTCATACAATGAAGTTAGAATAGTGGTAAGTGCTAGTGTCTAAATAAAGGAAAGAAGAGGATAAGGCTTGCTATTTAAAGTAGATTGAGAAAATTCCACACTAAAAAGTGAAATAAACACCTGAAGTAGATGAGGGAACAAATCACAGGGTTAATTGGGTAAAGAGTGGTCCAGAAGAGGTAATAGCCTGACAAAGGTAGTTGGGTGAGGTGGTTTATTTGGGAGATGATTTTAGGAGGCATAGTGAGGGAATGAAGAAGAGAGTTTCAAAAAGTAACCAGAAAACTAATAATATGTACATTATGAATCTGGCTACCACACTGGGAAACTGGGACTCAGACCCACTAAGGATTTACAAAGAACTATGTTGAATGCTCCTCAAAATTAATCCCACTGAGGTACTGGGAGGCTGGGGCATATAACCACTGTCTCCTATCCCCCACTGGTTAAGCAATGTCTTGTAGATATTAATTCCCTGCTAGTTCAGAAGTATATCAGCATGTCTGACCAATAGCTTTCCCTGGCACAAGTGAAAACCCTGAGGCAGAAAACAGAGAGATGCTGCAGAACATGCCTTAGATGAGACACTGACAATGTACAGTACTGAGACCAGATGAACCAAGAGAATATGGCACATATTGTAACAGTACCCTATACAAAGACTATGTTATATATAAAAAAACAATAACATGGATCAAACTATTGATTCACAGAAAACATAGATGAATCATCAATGTATTTGCTTAATGGAATAGCTTGATCCAATGACTACGGTTTGTATTATTTCATTTAGAAGACAATTTGAAACAGACAAAAGTATGTGGATGAAAAATCAATCAGTTATTTGCTAGGAGTAGTGTTAAGGATTGATTTTTAAGGAGACATCACTGTGAAATTATGAGGGACAGAACTTCTGGGGGTATGTTACTGATTTAGTAGATATGTAACTCTATGCATTTATCAAAATCCATGCTTTATGCTAGGGATGTAGCTCAGTAGTTGTTTTAGTCAGCCTTTTCACTGCTGTGACTAAAAGACCTGAACTGAACAATTTTAGAGGAGGTAAAGTTTATTTGGAGCTCATGGTTTTAGAGGTCATAGTCCATACACAGCAAGTTTTTTCCTGGGGGCTTGAGGTGAGGAAGAATATCATGTGGAAGAGTGTGGTAAAGGGAAGCAGCTCACATGATGATTAGAAAGCAGAGAGACTCCACTTGCCAGATACAAAGTGTATATCCACTACTTCCCCAATGCCCATCTCCTCCAGCCACACCCTACCTGCCTTTAGTTACCACTCAGTTAATCTCATCAAGGAATTAATTAAGGCTCTTATAACCAGATACTTTCACTTCTGAATGTTCTTGTATTGTCTTATACATTAGCTTTTGGGGGACATATCAAATCCAAACTCTATCAGTGATAGAGCACTTGCCTAGCATGTGCAAGGCTCTGGGTTTGATCCCTGTGACTATCTACCCCCCTCTAAATTCTTGCTGCATATCACAAATTTAAAAATAAGTTAACCATTAAGTTAGGGGATCCCAGGTTTGAAATGTAAATTGTGAGAATTGAATCTACCCATATTATTGCAAATGCCATAATCTCACAAAAAAAATGACTTAACTTTTGGAAAAACAGTGTTTTTATACTAAAAGGAGAAACCCATACATAAATACACTGTACTCTGGTAAATTTGTTTCTCACAGGTACAAGTTAACAGTTTCTAGCAATACTTTATTTGTATACTGGATTTGAACAAATAAGTAATTTGTATTTAATGGGAGCTAGGCTTCTTACTTTCAGAGAAAAGGTTAAAAATAAGCAAAGAGTTAAGGCTAAATGAACTGTTTGGTGCTAGATAAAAGCCTAAGAGAGTAGTATGAATTCATTTTTATTTAAAAAAGTATATAGAAGTAAATATGTGTGTGTGTGTACATGAGTTAGTATTCATGCAATTGTTTCCTAGCTCTGTTTGTTGAGAGGGTCTAGAAGTTTGACAGCCATCAGTAGATGTATTAAATAGATGATTAGATATAATTGAAGAGATCATTAATAAACTAGAAGGTAAATATGAAGAAACTGAAATTCAGAGTTCAGAAGAAATATATATTTCTTATATATAAAGGAAAGAGATTAATTAAGCAATACAAGATGCAAAGTATGAAAATAGGTTGTTAAAGATAGGGAGAATATAATGAAAAATTCTGAATATTTTTAATAGAAATTTCAGAAGGAAAAAATGGAAAAGGGTAGAGGAATTATTTGAATACCTCATAATGCTATGGGGATATAGACACCACACACACAGTTACTACCATCCAGTTCAAATATAAAATAGAATTTGCTAGGAAAATTTTGTAACTCAAGAGTTAGAAGAATGCATGTGATTTCATAAATTCTTTGAATATCGAGAAATTTATGTTTAAGTCAGACATAATTGTTCTGCATGCAGTGGCATTGCAGAAGAAAAAGATATGAATCCTACAAGTCTCTGCAATTTTTTTAAGGGATGAGCAGGAATAATATATGTGACAAGAGAAATGAGTGCTTCTTTGTCAAGAAAAAATTTCAGTTAGCAATGATCCAGAGATGGTTTCTGGAGTTCTGTGACTGGTATTATCATAATTTTGCGTTGAGCATTCAAAAAGCAAGAATAGAAAAGTATAGATACAAATTTTTATGATTACCTGTTGTCAGTGCTTATGATGAATCCATAATAGTTAAAGCAGTGTAGAATTGGTACAGGAACAGACAGATAAACCCATGAAACATGATAGAAATTGTAAAAACATGCCCACATTAAAAACAGTCCTTGACTTAACATAGTTCTACATAACTATTTTTTGACTTTACAGTGGTATGATAGCAATAGGCATTTGGTAGAAACTGTACTTTGAATTTTAATCTTTTCCAGGCTAGGGATGGGCACAATACTCTTGTGATGCTGGGCAGAAGCAGTGAGCTGACTTCCCAGTCATCCATGCTGTCTCTAGGGTGAACAACTGATACACTGCAGTGTACAGTATTGCTAAGATGAGAAGTTGGGTAGGTTAGTTGTATTAAAAGCATTTTTGAAGTAAGGCTTTTTTTTTTAACCTTAAAATGGATTTATTGGGATGTAATCCCACCATGATCGTGGAACATCTATGTTTATGGTTTCTTTGTTCTTTTTGTGTTCTTTATGAAGCTGGGTACTTCATAAAGGAAAGAGATTAATTTAACTCATAATTTTAAAGTTCAGGATCAGGCAGCTCCATCTGTTCAGCCTCTGGTATATCACAATGTGGCAGAGAAATGGAAAAGGAAACTGCAGTATGTAGAAGAAGCCAAGCACACTGGGTGGCCTTGTTTTATAACATCCTCTCTTAAAAGAACTAACTTTGTCCTGGGGGAACTACAATGATCCCTTCTAAGGGTACTGCCCTAATTACCTTCCAGTAGGCCACACCTCTTAAAGGCTCCATCATCTCAACACCACCACACTGAAGAACAGGCTGCCAGCATATGAACTTTTGGGGGCACATATCCAAACCATAGAATATGGGGGAAAATAAAGCAATGACATGCAACAGGAAAGGATGGTCTTTTGAATAAATGATGCTGGGTTAGATTAGATCTCTGAAATTTGTATCTAGACCCTTATGTCATATGGAAAAATTAATTCCATTCAGATTTTGAATCTAAACGTGGAAGCTAAAACATTGCAACTTCTGGTATTTGACATTAGCATGACATTTTTAAGAACTTTGAAGTAGCCAATGCTTTTTAAAGCAGAATACAAAAAATTAACTATTTGGAAAATTATGATATAGTGTACTAAAATATTGAGAAATTCTATTTTTGAAAAAGCATCATTGAGAGAGTTAACAGAGTAAGCTATAAGATGGGAGAAAGTATTTATAATACATTCACCTCACAAATAAAACTTATTGAGAATTAAGATTTTTCACAAACCAGTAATAAAATGTATAATAGAAATATGGGCAAGACACTTGAACAGGTACATCACAAAGACAATATTCAAAAGGCTCATACATCTGATAAGGTGTTTAACTTCTTTAGTAATGAGAGAAATGTAAATTAAAAGCACATTAAAATGCCACCGCTCACCTACAAGTATATTTAAAATGAAGTGGTAATTTTTAAGTGTTGGCATTAATGTGGAATAATTGGATATTTCATATTCTGTGTTTTGAAAGTCCAAATGGTAAATATTTCGGAACTATTGTGTAGGGTATGCTTGTGATCCAGGAATTCTGGGTGTAGCGCACCAGGTGAAAAATTTGCGTGGGACTTTATATTGCCTCTAAGCCTGGATGATTTTACATTTTTAAATGGTGGAACGAAGGAGGGAGATAAGGACAGGAGGAATTTGTGACTGTATTCACACCATCTGAAATGTTTATTCTCTGGTCCTTTATAGAAAACATTTGCCAACTCTGCTAGAGGTTAACACCCAGCAGAGAGTTACTCAGGCTCTCTAGGAGAGATGTACAAGAATGTACATAGCAGCATGGTTTCAGTAGATCGAATCTGGAAGTCACCTAGGTGTTTATCAAGA